CACACAAAAAAAAAAAAAAAAAAAAAAAGAAACTTTATCAGATAATATGAATTAAAAAGAGAAGAAGCCACTCTGGGAGCAAGGCCCATTTCACCTTATAAAGACAAAGGATAACATGCTTGAGGAAAAGGACTTTATCTCTCCGTGGAGTGGTTCTCAGGATAGCAACCAAATACATTCTCATCAGGTCCACCTGCTGGCCAGCTTGGGGGTGAGGATACTTACAATAACCCAGCACACATCACACACTTATTGACATGTGTCCTTCCATCAGGACCAAGAACTGGTTCAATTTCCCTTGTGCATCCAAATCTTCCATCCTTCACATAAGACGGAAAATCGCTACATATATCCTGAAGAACAGGGAAAGAAACTTGACATTTACCATCCGGATGGTAATGCTTACAACACTATTTTCAGAAATTTTATAGAGCCCAGTGCCCCTCTGCCTAGTGCACACTAGCTACCTAGAGCAATGCCAGTCATGTAAAAGTAGGTCAGTAAGTACTGTATAATTCACATGGTTAACGATAGAACTCGTTTATTCATTTATTAGTAAACGTGGATAACCTATGATGTGTTAGAACAAAGGTAGAACACAGTCCTTGCCCTCAACTGGCTCACAATCTACTGGGTGATACAAAGAGACATTTAAAATACAAGGTGCTACAGAGAACTGTATTCAATATCCTACGATAAACCATAATGGAAAAGAATATTAAAAAAAAGAATGTATATCTATAACAATCACTTTGATGTACAGCAGTAATTAGCACAACATCATAAATCAACTATATTCAATAAAAGAGAGAGTTACAAAAGATAAAACAATGTTACCTTTTCACTGTTTTTCTTTAATTATGGAAAATGTGGCTTTTTATATAAATAGGTTATTTATGTTAACATGTAATGGGTTTATTGTAATTTAAAATGAAAAATAAACATATTTTTAAAGTTCTCAGTTTTTACTCCTGATACAACAAATATCTATAGATATAACTCACATAAACAAAGCTCCTTGGGGTCCTCAATAATTTTAAGGGTTTAAATGAGTCCTAAGACAAAAAACATTGAAAACCACTATCCTAGAGTAATCCTACTTTCCAGTGATAAATGTATTTGTGATTTTTTTAGGTATCTCCCTTTTTTCCCTAAGCATATAAAAGCAAAAGCATATTTACACACATATACATATATTTATCTTTTTCTCATAAAAATAATGCTATACAGCTAAAAAAAAAATACAATGTGCTAATATCCTATGATAAACCATAATGGAAAAGAATATAAAAAAGAATGTGTGTGTGTATATATATATAACTGAATCACTTTGCTGTACAGCAGAAATTAACACAACATTATATATCAATTATACTTCAATTAAAAAAGACAAAAAATATAGTTTAAATAAATCTAAAGAAAAAAATACAATGTGCTAAATGTCTTGATGGGGGTAACCTCACTTACTTCCCCTATTATCACAGGCTCACAGAATTTTAGCATAGAAAGAAGGTGTTAGCCCAACTGTCATTTTTAGATACGGAAGCACTGGTAAAGTGTGGGTAAGTAATCTGCCCAAAATCTCCTGACTGCAAGTGACATTGCTGGGGTTTCTACTCAGGTTAAGTTAACTGAAGTAGCTCCCTTTCTACAACACATGTAGTTTCCTTTCCCTCCCTCCCTCCCTCCCTCCCTTCCTTCCTTCCTTTGTTTTCATAGAAAGCAGAAATAGAGATGAAAGGTCTAAATACCAAAGTAACCTGCTCCCGTTTCGGGAACTATCAGTTGCTTTTCATCTAAATGAGCAGTATTCCATTTCAGGTGCAGCAAGAATGAATTCTTTCCAAACACCCCCATCAAAGAAGGAAGAGGAGACCATCTTCTTTCTTTTCAAAGTCAGCCCCCCCAGTGTTCCCCCCAACTCTGACATTCGTCCTCACCTGCTCTGGATTACTGTTCTTACATTCTCCTTCACTTTTTATGCCAACTTGACGTCTGGTTTTACTGGAATTAAAAGTTAGTAGACACAACAGTTTAATATCATGGAACTTCTCACCAAATGCAGTTTTTCTTCATGTATTGTGATTCTCCTTTGCTTTTGAAAATAGGTGTCACACTGCATTCTTTACTTTTTCTAACGAAAGTCTGTTTATAAATTACAGTCAAAGAAATTTGGAGAGCATGTTGGAGAGCTGATAAGATTCAGACCTGTAAATATTATTTCCAGATTTTTTTCCCTGTTTCCAGAGAGGACCCACATCAGAAGAGTGGGAAAAAGTAAATCTTGTAACTAGATATTAGATGCCACCCAAGGAACTATTTTTTTTTTCACCCAAAGAACTTTGTTGTTGTTGACGATCATGTTGTTTTAAATAATAGAATTCAAGTTTATAGTATCCAGCATACTATTATACCATTCTTCATTTGGGTTATGATAACTAATATTTTGTTTTTCATGGAAAGTATGTAAGGCCCTAATTAATATTGTTCAGTCTAACAGAACTTTAAAAGCGTATCTGAAAACATAGGAGCATAAAAATGATACACTTCTTACTCTCTAAAAAGATCTATAACATCTGTATAACAATAAATATATAATAAAAACAATAGGAAGAAAAAAACTAAGTAGTTAAAAAGTGATAAGAAAAAAGTTATACCAAAAGAGATCAGCTGAGGAAAAATATAAAAATTGAATTCCAGTGTTATTGCAGTTTCCCAGCAGACAGAACTAAGAAAGAAACACAATGAGCAGGATGATTCTCATTGTATAATAAGTCATATACCAGAAATCAGAGGCTTAAATAAGCTATCACAGGCTTCCCCACATAAAACATGGTAAGAACTAGTGTACAGTGTGTTCATAGTAGTGTTACAAATACATGTGTAATGAAAAATTGTTCTTCCTTTACCTATTTTTTGTTTTCTGTTTCTTTATATTGACCCTTGGTGAAAGTGGAAGACATAGTTTTCGAGTGTATTACTGAAAATGCAGTCATGTGAGGGATCAGAGTGATTTAACTCAGTTGTGGTTTGGTAAAGATACTTATTATAAGGAAGGATAAAGCTTGTAGAACCTTAAGACTGAATATTTATCATTATCTCTTACTAGCCTTCTCAAACATTGGTTGTTATATTTGCAAAAACTGAAGAGCAGCCAATTCAAGCTTGAGGTCATAAGCCAGAACCTGCAAAGGAGGGATGCCATCTTGTTGGCTGAAGACAGTCAATAACCAAACCTAGCACGGAGGGTAGAGAAAGAACCAAATGAGGACAAAATATAGGGCAGTGAGATGCTTTAGCTACATTTGGTGAATGTTGAATAGATGGGAAGAAGTTCAATATTAAGTCCCAGTTACCCTAATATTATAAATTACTGAGCATTTAATAAATAAATATCATTTGATAATTAAATAATTCTCTATGAAAAAGGATATACTCCTAAATAGGTAGAAAGGAGATAAATAGATAACAGATAAATGTATATGTATATGTATGTATGAATAGATATATGTGTATGTGTGTGGCTGTATACAGATATAGATATATCAGATGTCTTACTTCACAGAAAGTGATAACCATCTGATAAATTGCACACAAGTGTGCTTGTAAAATATAAAGTGTTATACTACATACATATTTTTTCTCTTAAGAATAGTAAAAGAAGTGATCCTAATAATTTATAGATGGCTAACTCCCACAAAATGGATTGTTATCTTAAAGATGTAAGAAAAAAATGTGTTATATAATTATACAGACAACATGCTTTAGGGAGAAAGCCTGCTTCAGAGAATACTCACGCGTTCTCAGCACATAGTGTACATCTGTTACTGTATGTTTTCCCATCTGTGCCACAAACAGCTGCATTATCAAGGGTACAGATAAAATCCTCATCCCTTTCTCCTTTCTTGAAATCACTGCAATTCAACTGCAAGAGACATGATCAAGGAACATCAAACTATAAGAGAGAAAATATTCCTTAAATGCATAAATAGATTAATATTTAAGCCCACAACAATATAACTCAGTGGAGAAGGAAAATATAATAAGGAGACTGCAGTGAACTAATAAAACTGTGGGTAATAAAGCATGGTCCAAGAACAGAAATATATAATCAGATTTCAGAAAAAATGATTTCAGTAAGATTTCAGACACCTGCTATCTGGGTGAGGTGGGCCAAGTCACCTCTTTGAAACTTAGCAAACTGTATGTCAATCAAAACCTGCCTGCCTTCTCTATAGAGTAGTCATGAGGCCCAGTAGACAATGGATATGAAAGCTCTCTGCAAACTATAAGCTACAATAAAGTTTATAGTATTATAGATTAGAGTAATGATCAAGAGCCAGATTGCTGGGTTCATAATTCTAAATCTGCCACTTATTAGCTGTGTGATTTGGGTTACTTAACCACTCTGTGCTATAGTGTCCTCATTTGCAAAATGCATATAATATTACCAACTTCTCAGGATTATAAAGAGATTTAAATGTATTAATACATGTATAGTTCTTAGAACAGTGCCTAGCATATCCTGACCATTTACTGTTGTTGCTGTTGTTTTTTAAATGTTTTCTTTACTGATAATCAAGCCAATAAAGCTAAACACCTTTTAGGGATGATGAGATAAATACGAAAATCTCTGCTCTAATAATATGACATATACATAGGGACAAACCTGTTTGGTGAGAAAAACAATTGCACTAGGTAATAACTGATGGCTAGTGTTGGAATCTCAGATCTGCCACCCACTCACTTCACCTCTTTGATTCTCACTTTCCTTATCTGAAAAATGGGAATTCACACCCTATCCACATTACAGGCTTGTGGTAAAGAAGAAATAGTTACGAAACGTTATTTGGCAACTCATTATTGTGACATAAGCTAGATATTCTGATTCAGAGTTAACTTGAACTTAATTTCTATCTAAAACCAAAGAATATGATATCACATTGCAAAACAAATTTTTTGATGTCATTATTGTCATAACAAAAATGTCTTTATTATAGATTTGGAAAACTTAGGATATGGACCTGTGACTTAGTATGGCACACAATATCAAGAATAAAGTAGGATAGACACAAATGTAAAATAAATTTTTGAACCAGATTACACTGAGGAACTCTCCTAGAAGACAATTAAAAAGGAAAAAGAATTTAAACTAGAAAAGAAAATCTATGAAACGTACCCCACTCTTCATGTCATATATTTAGGAAGAAGTTAAAAATAGAGTGAAAACAGGTTAAGTCATGGCCATATGTGCTACCCCATTCACTTGGTTGTTCATTTATGCCTCAAAACCCATTACACATTTACTAGGCTCTAGGCATTCCACTAGACTGTGACACAGCAAAAAAAGAGAAAAGGAATACGTGCTCTAACGGATTTACATTCGTTAAATAGACAGAGGAAGAGATAGACAGTAAATACAAAAATTTTAAATTATAACAAGTGCTATGAAAAATAAACTGCACGATATGATAGCACCCAGAATAGGGGCTATTTTAAATATAGTGTCAAGAAAGATCTTTCTGCAAAGGTAACATTTGAGGTGAGATGGCATTAATGAGGAGGAGCCGGGCATTAAAGACTTGCGGAAAGAACATTCCAGGCATGGAGAACTGCAATTGCAAAAGATTTGTGATAGGAACTAGATTCTCCTGTTTAAGGGGCAGAAAGAAGAGAAGTGTGGCTGGAGCATAAGGAAAACACAGGAGCGTAAGGAAAAGCTGCTGATTTTCTCCCAAAAATCATTTCTGGAGAAATTGCAGAAGCATGGGGATAGGGATCCAAGCAATCAACTTGGGGCCATCACTCCTCTCCCGCTTCACCAGTGAAACCAACAGCAGCCTACTAGGTCACAGATGTTGGCAGGGTGATGGACAGATCAAAAGCCCAGCTTGGAGGTGATGAGAACAGGTGTAAGCATTTACTAATCAACCTCCTCCTCCTCCAAACCCCAAGGGCTGGTGGATCACAGCCTGCAGAGAACAATTCTTCCTGATGCTGACAGTTTCTGAGAGCTTACAGATGGACTGTTGACATGGTGAAGTGGCAGCAAACTGGAGTTAACGCTGGTTCTAGAACCTTCAGCTCTGAGTCTTATCCTTTGTCCTTTCCTGACACCTACCAGGAGAGGCAGAGGCTGAAGCTTGGCTTCAGTATTTTCTAACTCACTTTAGCAGAAAAAAATTTACTACAGAAAAATTAAAAAGCACAAATATTATAATAGGATAAGAAAAGATACAAGGCAAAAGTGAATAAGAAGAGAGCAGAAGCAAAAATATTAATACTTAATACATAGAATTCAGTCCCAAATGCATCATAAGTAACAAAGAAGGACATTACATAAAGTAAAAGGAAGAAAAGAACAAGAAGGTATAATAATCATGAGCATACATTCAATAATACAGGCTCTAAATATGTCAAATGATAACCAACAGAATTAAATAAATCAATAACTGGTGTTAGAGTTTTTAGCACACACTTCTCAGAAGCTGATATATCAAAGGAAAAAATTAAGGTGCTTGAGTCATTAGATTTTAATAGGAAACTACATCCAAGAAACAGAAAATAAACATTTTTTCAGAAGATATAAAACATCTATAAAAGTAGAATATTTATCAGACCACAAAGTCTTAGGAAATTCCAAAGGATCAGTGTCATATGGCCCGTGTTCTTTGACCACAATTCAATAAAATTAAGTTAATTTAAAATGGGAAAAAAGTACCACATATTTGTAAATTAAATAATGTGTTACTAAATAAATTTGGGAAGGAGGAAAATTAAGAAATATTTGGCAAAGAATGACAAATGAAAACACTTCAAGTACAAATCTGAGACAGATGATCACTGATACCTTCAAATACACTTGTCATGAAATTTAGAAAGTTAAAATTTAAAGACTAAGTATTGCTCAATTCACTATAAAATGAGCAGCAGAGCAAATAGGAATGAATGACATAAAGAACAGAAACGACAGAGAAAATTAATAAAAAAAGCTAATGTTATAGTTTTCTAGTACAACTGATAAAGAAAGAGAAGATGACAATTTAAAAATATATATAGTGATATTGGAAATAATTGAACATTGAGAAATAATACAATGAAAGCATATGGTGAGTATCCATATGCTAATGTATTTGAAAACCAAAATGGAGACATGGCTACAAAAAAAGTAGAAAATACCTCCGCTGGTGTACTAAGCAGGAGGAAAGTTGAACGTATCAATAAGTATATTAACTAATTGATATATTGGTCTGAGATATTCTCTCCCCAAAATGCCCCATTTCTAATAGACTTAAAATACATTTTTCTAAAACTTTGAATTTAAGGAGTATGTACTGGAGACATAGTTGGGGTTATTTTTTAAGCATATAATAGTCTCAGCCTTTTGATTGGGATGTTAAAACCATTTACATTTAATATAATTATTGATAGGATTGTATTTACATATGTTTCTATTTGTTTTTAATATACTCTTGTTCTTTTTACTTCTCTATTCTTCCACTATTGCCTTCTTTTTGGGTTAAATATTACTGGTGCATCTTTTTTATTCTCCTGCTGATTTTATGCATTTATTATACATGTCATTTTCTGATCGGTTACTCTAGTGATTACAATAAGCATCCTAATTTATCACAATCTACTACCAATTAATACTTAATTCTAGTAAAATATAGAAACTTGGCCCCAATTGTAGCTCTATTTTCTCTGTCTCCTTTCGTACTGTAACTATCATACATGTTATATTTGTACACCCAATAAAACAGCATTATAATCATTGCTATATACAATATTATATCTTTAAAAGAAGCAAGGCGAAAATAAGGGACATATGTTTATAGAGTACTTCATATTAACCCCTATATTTACCATTTCTGGTGCTTTTCATTTCTTTCTCTAATTCCAAGTTACCATCTGGTGGTCATTCCTTTAAGGAACTTTATTATTACTTATAAGACAGATCTGTTAGCAACAAATTCTCTCAGATTTCATTGATATGGGAATATCTTCATTTTGCCTTAATCTTATAGGGTAATTTTTGTGGATATAGAATATTGGTTAACATTTTTTTTCTTTCAGCCCTTTGAGCATCTCTTTCCATTGCCCTCTGACCTTCATTATTTTAAATGAGAAGCCAGTCATATATAATGGGTCATATTTCTTTTGCTACTTTTAAAGCTTTCTCTTGATCTCAACGTTTTGATCATGATGAGCCCAAGTGTAGATCTCTTTGATTTGTTCCATTTAGAGTTTGTTGAAATTCTTGAATATAAAGATTCATTCTGTCATCAAATTTGATATATTTTAGGCTGTTATTCGTTCAAATAATTTTTCTGTCCAGTCTCTGTCTTCTATTTCTGGCATTCCTATTTCACACATACTGGCATTCTTGATGTCTCAAGGACTCTGCGACTCTGTGCAATTTTTGTCAATATTTTTTCCTTCTCTACTTCTTTTGTTAAACTTTATTAATCTTTCTTCAAGTTTACTAATTCTTCTTTTATTATACAATCTCAAAGCTGCTTTTGAGCCTTTCTACTGATTTTTTAAAACTTGAGTTATTGTGCCCTTCATCTCTAGAATTTTCATTTGGTTATATATATACATATATATGTGTGTATATATATATATATATATATATACATATACATATACATATAAGTGTATATGAGGGTGTTATATATAACTTTTCACTGAAAATCTCTATTCATTGTTATTACGTTTTCCTTTAACTCTTCAAATATTGTTTTCTTTAGTGTTGGACACCTTATAAATAGCTACTTTAAGTCTCTGTCAAACTAACATCTGGAACCACTCAGACAGTTTCCATTAACATTTTTTCATGCCAAGTATGGTTCATATATTCTATTTACTTTGCCTATTTCATAATTTTTGTTGAAAACTGGACATTATAGATAATATAGTTTA